AAAAAGCCTGCAACTGTTGAAATATATGTTGCTGAGACTCAAGTGCGTGAGCCCATCATTGAAGAAACTCAAGAGAATGTCATCATTCCTTCGAAAACAGGAATGTTTCGAAGAATTAAAATGAAGTCCACTCACAAACGCAAGTCTCCTTCACAGAAAATGGTTCGCAAACCTCAAATCACTCATCAAGGAGTGTTAATCCACGAAGTATCAGCACCTGTTTCTCCGGTGTCTAAGAAACGAATGGCTGAGGATATGGCCAAACGGTTGTCACAGAAGAAGAACAAGACTCGAAAACTGGTGCTTTCTACTGAGTCAACCGAAGACGATGATGAAAGAATACCCGAAACACCAGAGTTCACTCATCTTATTCAAAGTTCCACTCCTGAGAAGACAGTTGTCATACCACCCAAAGTTTCAATTGCCAAATCAGTTTTTGAGAAGGTTCGAACTTCAGGCATCCCTGCACACGTATCTGATACGGATGCAAATGTCGATATGGGTGAAGGAGGTTCGAAGCATAAAGTCTCACCATCTACTATTCCCATTACATCAACCACAGACTCACCTACCTTTGAACATATTATCAATCAACCATTCACTTCTATTTTCTCTTCTCAATCCACTGACACACCCAAACCACCTTCACCTATTCAAGAAACCATTGAAATGGAGACAGAGACAGATAATGAGGGATTTGGTGGTACGTTTGAAGACTTAGAATTTCATGAAGAGGAAGAGGAATTTCTTGATCATATGTTGATGACCATGAAGCAATATAAGATTCTGAATCAGAAATTGAATTCCATAATTCAATCTCAAGCCGATCTTGGAGGAGGTTCATCAGTATCAAGTCTAGAAATTGATACTATGATAAAGATGATGGAATCACGGATAATCAGCAAAGTCTCCGGAATGTTGAAAGATTCTGAGTCTGTTATTTTGGAGAAGGTTGACTACACTGATCTGAATAATGAACTTCGTGTTAAATCTCAACGATCTGATTTTATGGGTGAGGTAAAGAATCTGAAAAGCATAACAAACGAACGGCATGTTCTTTTTGTTCAAGAAGTTAAGAAGGTACGTGAAGATGTCAACATGCAAATTCGTGAACTCCGTGAAGACATGCAGAAAGAAATTGGCAATTTTCAAAAAGATTATGCCTCTTTACATCAGAAAGTTGATATCATTTGTGATGCAGTCACTCGCTTTGTTAAGTTGTATGAAGGTTTGAGTCCTCAAATAACTCAACTTTCAACATCCGAAAGTGCAAACTTTGAGGAGGTGATTAAGATGCTCCAGGAGTTGAAAGAGATTTCTGTTCGGCCGGTTTCTTCTTCATTAATTACTCCTGAATTTCTATCATAGAAGTTTATACAATTCGAAGCCATCCTTAACAAGCAACTTGCACCGCTCTTTCGCATATCAAGTCTTCTTCCCACAACAACTGCCCCTCCTGTTTTCACAGGGGTGCAAGGGGGAGAAAGGAAGTCTAGTGAAGAAGATGAGAAAGTGGTGGGAAAAGTCTTTCCTTCGAAAATCCCTACAACAAAACCAATAATTGTTTCTGCTGAACCAGTGACTTCAACAATCGTAACAACTTTGCCAACTGCAAGACCAATTTCGAAAGGAATTGTAATTGGTAAACCTTTGGAAACTGGTGGGAGTGTTTTGAAACCAAAAGAGACAATTGAAAATCCTGCTTCAAAAGATAAAGGGAAATCGATTCCTTGTTGAAAAATCGAAAGATAAAAAGAAGGCGGAAGCAGAGGCTGAACTGGAGAAACTAAGGATCATCCAAAGCATTATGACTCAGCGTGCAAGTGATCCGAAGGGAATGGATAAAGGTGATCCAGCAAAACATTATAATTACAAGACAATCGAGGCCAAGGTTGCTTTCAATCACATGTATACATTCGAAAAGAAACCAAAGCAGAACTATTTGGTCACTAATACTGATGCAAGCCAGCTGGATTTCCCGATAAACGAAATGTTGTTTATCATGCCACAGTTCAAAGCTGAAGGGAATTTCAAAGAAAAAGATGAAGGCACACACATGAAAATTCGTTTTCATGCTGTACTTGGAAAAGCCCCTGAGGAAGTATGGTCACTGGTCAAAATAAAGAAAGTGATCAGCATGAAAAAGGATGTGATTTTTGAAAACACAGTCCAAAATATTAAGTATGTGGTTGCCAGGGCAAATGGAAATATTTGCGAATTCACGATTGCAGATTTTCCATTAATGAACTTGTATGACCTTATACAAGTTGCATTAATTTTGAAAGACAAATCATTCTCTTATCTTCAAAACACAGAACCGGAGGAATTCAAGCTTGGAGTTGCTCACATCAAGATTTTTATTGAAAACTACTATGAGTGCTTGGCACTAACTGATGTGGAGTTGGCTACTGCCAAGGGAATGGAAATAAAAGCTCCAATGGCTCCTTCGAAGACTCAGGCTGAATTAAAGAAGTATGCTGATGGTGAAATTTGCCTAAAGCCTTTTGGATTAGTCTTCGCAGGAAAAGACAAAGCTGGAAAAGCTAAAAGATTTTTGTTCCAAGCAAGTGAAGTGGAAAGGTACTCAACGTCTCAATATACGAACTTAATTGTTCGTATGAACCATTGCAAGAAAAATAATGAAGGAGACAAGAAAGAGTTGAAGAAAATTATCTCATGGTATACAGAGGTTCGAAGGGTGTTGCTGTACTCCATCACACTTCTTACAAACTGAAGACTTCGACTATGATTACAAAGGGGGAGATTATTAGAGTCGAAGTTTTGTAATTAGTCGAAGTATGTTTTGGTGTCTTCGAACATTTTGTAATCTATTTTACTAGGGCATTGTATTCGAAGCTTAACGCTTAGTCCTTAGTATATTTTTTGTACGCTTTCCTCTCCTATATATAGGAGTGTTTACTAGAGTCATAGAGAGAACGAGTCTTTACAGAATTGTCTTTTGTACTCTGTAAAACTTGAGAGCGTAATAGAGCTGAAACAAGATCATATTTACATCCTGTGTCTAAATCTCGCATTCTTACTTGAATTCATACTCTGATTAATTCATTACTCGATTCTTTGTTTCATCAATAATAGCAGAGTATTTCACAATTTTCATAGCATTAATTTGTTGAAAGTAATTAATATATTTATGATATTATTCATTATTGACTATAACAAAGGGTTTTAAAGTTTAATGTTGTAAAATTATGACTAAAATATACCCAAAAGCAGACTGAAATTAGTATATAAAAAAAACATGTAATTTAAATAATATATGATGTATAGTGTTTTAAAATAAAACAACATAAGGAAACAAGAAACATCTCCTTATTCATGAATGTACAAACATTTTAGTAGGGATTACTCTAAAGCATACAATAAACTATGAATACTGCTGCTAATTGTATATGTCTATAGTCTATAATGATTGATGTTTATAATTTCCACAAAGGAAAAAAATATCTATTCTAAATGCAAACTGTTTTAATCAAATAATAGAGGTTAAATGCCTGTTCATATCATTAATCTGTTATGATTACCATATATGTTATGATATTATTCTTGTTGAATAAACAAAACCGTAAAAATCATGAAGTTGTTTTAAGATAAAATAAACATACTGAATCATAGAAACATATTCTTATTCATAAATCTAATAGAAAAAAAATCTATTGGGCAAATGAATGGGCCATTTTAAGGTTGTTTTGACTCTCGTGCAAGTCTGACTTGCAAGTCCTCCAATTATGGTTAACATATTGATTGCAACCTGTGCAAATTCTATTTTTTTCTTTGCAGCTGCAACAACTTTCTCAGTAGCACTAACCATTCTTTTCTTAGTTCCACTCCCTTTGGTACGTATAGATGAAGGTGGATGGATATTTATTTCATCAGGAATTTGCGTATTCCAAGCATCCGAATAATTTCTTTCATCATTATTAGATGATGATTGGTTTTGAACTGCCAAAACTCCATTGCTGCCTGCTTCAAGATACGTGTTTTTCAACAAATTCCAAACAATTTATCCTTTCTTCTTTTGAAATGATCCAAGCAGTATTCAATATTATTGTATGCCTCTGTTAGAAGTTTAAAGGTGTCATCTTCGGTTTCCATGGCAACATGTTTCATGACAGCAAAATGGCTGGAATTGCATCCCTTCTCCATCTTCTGAGAATATACTGCTCTGGAACTCTTCAAATGGTTGTTTTTCAATACAGCAAAAATATGACGACACAAAATGCCAGTACGTATAAAGTGATTGCATGAACATTTAACTTCTTTTTTCAGGCAACTTAGTTCAACCTACTTGTATAATAAAAATAATGTATGTTAGTAACTGGTTGAATTAACATATTAGTGGTGGTTTATACATAATATTGAAACAAGTATATGTAATTTAAAAATAATGATATAATATACTTGTATTATCACTAATGAATAGCGTTTCAACAATGAATATAACCTTGCATTTTATCTTCAACTGTTTGCTCTTATCCGTTTGTGTAATCATAACAACTTGCCACCCATCAATCATTTCAACGCTGTCAATAGAACAGTACCAGGCTGCTTTAAATATTTCCTTTTTTGACCTCATAGAAACGGTTTTAGTGTAAACCGCAGCTGCATGTTCTAGTTAATCCATGGAAGCGTCATTTCATGCTTTGCATTTTTTGTATCATGTTCTAGTTTCTGTTGAGCATTTCGTTGCTTTCCAATTGCGGTGTCGTAGTTCATCATGAAATAGATAAGAAAATTACCAGAGTCAGAGTATTTATTAAAAAATGAGTTGACACTTTCAGACCTTGAAGTAGTTTTCATCAGACCATGTAGTGGCATGTCTTTAAAATAGGCTGAAATCCAAAGCTTTCGATCCTTGTACATGTCTTTGAACCATTTTGTCTTGTAGTTTGAATTTTCTCATAAGCAGTTTCCACCTTGATTCAAAGACTTTAGGCTCGATGTAGACATTCCAAACAAGCTTTGTAAAACGCTTTCGAAAATCAGTGTTTTTCAGAAATTCCACTGAAACCTAAAAAAAACATTAGAATTTTATAAGATTATCTATGAATAAACATATCTATGCTAATCATTTTTAACAATACATAAACTGTTTAAATCATTGCTGAATAAAACATGTTCTGTGTTAACTATGAATAAAATATACACACCTTAGATTGTAGTTTTTTCATAATGTGCCACATACATAAGCGGTGATTAGAATTAGGAAATATGCTTCAACGGCCTGTAGAATTGTTGGATCTTGGTCTGTTAACACTAATTGAGGGTGTTTTCCATGTGCTTCAAAAAAGCTTCAAGCAACCAACGAGATAAGATTCTATTGACTCGTTGCTTAACAAACCTGCTCCATGTTTATTGAACGTTTGTGGTTATCAATGGCTGTAAACGGCACAAAAATCATTCCATACCTGTATTAAAAAGTTAATTAAAAACAAATTCAACAGTTATTATAAACTCAAAAAAACAGCATATTCATATTTAAAGAAAAAAATAGCAAACTATAAGAGCATACTTATTTGTTCGGAATGTAGCATCAAATGAGATCACATCTCCAAACTCCTTGTAATATAACTTATCGGTTTCATCCGCCAACACATTGCGTTTAACACACTATCAACACATTTATACTCAAATGTGTAGTTAGGTAACTCATCTTTCCTCACGTTCATTTTGTCAACAACAGCTGTGCATCCTTGTCACCTATAATGTTTCCCATCTTCCTTCTAAAATTTATAATCAATTGCTTCAGGGCCAACGTTTTCATAACCTCTTGCAAACTAGCTTGTAACTTATGTGCATATTGTTGCAACCAATGTTAGATGTTGAAGAACGCACTATAAATCCTTGTCTTTATAACTAAGTCGTCGTGCACGTTGGAATACCGTCTTTCTTCTTTAGTTTCTAGGGGGTGGTTGTGCTTCTCTTCAAACTCATATATTTTACAAGCATTAGTTCGCATATGTAACCTTTCAAACTTTATCAATGCCTTGCAGTCCGTGATTCTGAAGTTTGAGTTTCGTTTATTCCTTCCACTTCCGTCAGGATCCAAAGTGTCAGTTGATTTGTTAGGTATTTTACCCATTTTGTTGCACACTACATACCTTTTTTTAATGGTTTTGTCACCAAACCTCGTTACTGTATTTAACCTGACACCAAAACCTGCTTTATCTGCATATAATTTATACATTTCAACTGCCTCCTCTAATGATTGATAAGTAGCATCTACATCTGGCATAAATTCTTTAGGAACAATAGGTTTCCACAACTTGGTTTTCCCACCAGGCGAGTCAACCACACTACTATTGAATGATTCCTCAGAATCAGTTCGATTTGTACCTATTTTTTAGACAACAAAAACAATAATGTGACAGAGAGGGACATAATATAAATTTAGATCAATTACGTATTCATAAACTAAAACATTTTCTAATCATAATCAACATGTGTGAAACAGTAATCAAAATTGAAGTGTTACTCATTTTAAAATACACAGAACTATGTCAAAAGATTTAAATCATTATCATATATGATTGTACGCATAATCACCAATGCTTATCAAACTAAGAGAAACATGTATTAAACTTACGAAACAATGTACAACAATTTGTGATATGCACCAGCATTAACTAATTAATTCATAAAACGTATATGATTAATCGTATACAAATATGTACTGAATAAATGACATGTCTTATTCATCATATACATAAATTCAATGTTGATTGTAATACACGAAGTATTTAAAAGATGTTGATATTGTTACCTTCACTAGCATTATCAGATAATTGAATTCTTCCGCTGTATTGATCATCCAAATTATAGAAATCGTCTTCATGATATTGATTATTGTCGAATGCTTCGTCGCCGTAATGATCATCATGTTCGGTATCATCGCTACTGTAATCAAAACAGTCCGACATCGAAAATTGGGGTTAACAAATTCCTACGTTGTTATCTTCAACCATAATCGATGTTACAGATACAATTGTCGATTGACTAAATCACGAATCGTATATTGGGAAACCGTATCTCAATTCAACGATAACTATGGAATATCCTTAATTATAGGTAAATAAAATGGATAATTATGTTTAATGTATTATATTAATTAAAAATTATATTAAATACAAATTTACTAAATACCCTAATAAAATGATTGGCTGATAAGTGTTCTCGCGTTCTCAACCTTTTAGGGTTTCTCAATTGATCCTACTCTATATATATTATATATATATAATATATATATTCTATATATATATATTATATATATATATATATATATATATATATATATGGATCCCACACAAAAAAATCCAAAATACGCGTTCCGGAATTTGCAAATCCAAAGCACTATCTACCCGCATTTTGGACCTAATTTTCAGCATGGATTCGTCAAAACCAAATAAGTTATACTCTTTAAGTTACTTTGAGTTTGATTTTAGAAAAGAATTTACGTATTCCGGAATGGTCCAAAATAGTCTGGAATACGAGGAATGACTCCGGAATAGGGATGATCGAATCTGAATAATCCTTGTTTTTCATTTTTATGTTTTTTTGTTGTACGTGTATGAATCTCATACAAGGACCTTGTAGTGAGTTTCAGATCGGTTCTTTTAGTCCGTAAGCCGGAACACGAAGAACATGGTCCGGAACCCCATGAACTATACAGAATGATGTTACGGAATATCAATACGAAATAACTATATTTATCATTTTTTTCTAAGCATTGTCTAATAACCCATGTTAGTCCGAAAACGAGTTTGCATGGATGTTGTAAAAAAATAGGTTTTACGGACGACGAAGTTGTATTCCGGTGTTTGAAATGAGTCTTTAAAAGCCAAAATATATTTTTGTATAAGTAAATCCATACTTTAAACCTTGTTTGCAAAGAATCTTTGAAAACCAAAATGTATCTTTTGTATAATTAAATCCATACTTTAAACTGTGTTTGTAATGAATCTTTGAAAGCCAAAATGTATCTTTTATATAAGTAAATCCATACTTTAAACTGTGTTTGTAATGAACCTTCGAATATCCTTGAAAACCAAACTGTACTGTTACATAAGTAATTCCATACTTAAAATAGTCTTGAAAGTAACCAAACACATGGTTTGTAGTGAGAGAAAGAGAGAGATATCACATTTAATGTTCATAGTGAGTCCTATAATCAAGCTATGTGACTGAATGTATCCTCCTACAACGCTTCATTGGACATTGCAGTAACGATCGTAGACACTTATCACCCGCTTTGATTGATCGGTCGAGGTTGTAGCTAGCAACCGCAGGTGGGCATGTCAACCCCGTATAGATCTATACATATGTATATCGCTCTGAAGATTAACAGTTATAATAGTGTGGGTATGCTAAGTGTTTAGACTCAGCTAATGAATAACGTCTCACTAAAAATCCCTTAACTAAAAAGATTGTGAATAGCTCTCAGCCCTAACTTAATTGTGATTAAGTCACTAGGCATAATGAATTTCATTGTATAAAGTTTATAAAAGACGAGTATGCTTGGTATGTATGTAAAAGTGTGATGTACTCGCTTTTATAAAGATGTATGTTTCAAAGTAATGAACATACGTACATGTCTAAACTTTATGTATTTAAACATATAAGTATACATTAACAGTAATAGCCTGAGTCATTGAAATACTATAAAGTTTTATAACGTGCTTGTTATAATATACAATGTCACATAAAAATCATATATTTTTTCATGCAGCATTTGTTGTGTGGACTAGTTATTTCACGTTAAAATAACCATAATACGTATACAAAAAGTTTATACTAGTTTATTTGTAACAATATGCTAAATCGTTAAATAACATTTTTATAAACTAGATTTATGGTATTTTCGCATAAAGGATAATATAATTGTATAAACAAGGCATATAGGCACATATATCCCCCCCTCAATAATTAAAATATTAAAAAGGGGTCGTAAGCACTCACCCTTGAAGCGTGAGTTCCAATCGTTCGAATTTTGGTTTCTTTGAGAAGCTTGACGTGAGAAACCTGATGGGTTTTGAGCATATCTACATTCTATGTGATCATGCAACCCTAATTGCTTTGGATCTAAGTTTTTCACTAATTGAACATGCAAATAGAACACCAAAGCAATAACCCTATAACTAGCGTACAATTTTCAAAATCCATATATGAAATAGGGTTAGAAGATTACCTCACTTGTTATATTGTAATAACAAGAACAATCCTTGGAGATCTTGACTCTTGAAAGCTTAGTCCCCCAAGTGTTGCACCTCTAATGGAGTCACAAACACTCAATGCAAAGGATGAGTTGGAGAGACAGGAAAAATCGGCTAGAGTTTCTCTTAGAATGCATAGGGCCATAAATTCCATATGGTGGGGGTTCCTTTTATAGTTGTGGGCTACTAGGGTTTCTGGAGGAAACCCTAATTCCTGCTTAAGGCTTAAGCAGCCCATTGACTCCTCCTTATGAGGCCTTGGACGAAATCTATAGGGCCTTCCTATAGGATTTCGTCCACTCCTAATTGAGGAATTCAATAGCCTAGTTCTACAACTATCAATGATTTGCAGAACAGCCCCTCCATTATTAATCAGTTCCTTTTAATCCCAAAATTAATATCAAATTAATTTCTGATTAATTATCAATTAATAATATGATTTCCAAATTATATATTAATCTTGTAATATATTAATAAAATCATTTGAGTACCAATTTATTATTTCACATAATAAATTCTACTCTCTCTCTCTCTCTCTCTCCACTAGTCATCCTGTCAAGTTGCATGAATGAAGGCAACCCAAAAGGACCATGCTACATATCAAATCAAGTACATACCAATTATAGTTATGGGCTTATACACCTAATCCAACAGTATCCCACTTGGATAAGTCTAATAACTATTATTGCAAGTATGACTTCAAAATTTGACTAGCAATCGTAGCTCTCAAAAGCCGTTGTCGAACTCTGATCTTATCAGTGACGTGTCCTTAGATAAGGGATCAAATATTCCTCCGTTCTACAAGATATTATATGGACATGAAACATGGATTATAATCATTCTCTCTGTCCAATGTTTGTTTCCTAATTTCCGATTTATAACGACTGACTAATTAAACAAATCAAATCAGTCCAGGCTTGGCCAAGCGCTTAGGGTGTCATCACTAAATCATCGAGGGGCCCACATATATCGCTTTTATCCCATTAAGGATAAAAGGAACGGATAAACTTCGACTCATATGCTTGCACAATTTACTCATCAAATCACACACAACAATATGTTTTATAACATCAACTTACTGATGCGTTTACGTATTATCAATGCACAACCGACTCGTAAACAACAACCCATATGTCTCCGTTTCAAGAATATAAGATATTATTGTCTCAAAATTACTCGTGACAAAATCCATGAAGTAATACTTAAGCGTGGGTTAATCCAATACTCAAATTCCTATTTCAGGAGTACTCATGAACACTACAACAAACATTTGCTATATCTAAGCAATTAGACAATCTGCAGTCGGATTCATGACAGTCTTAAATCACTACTTACTTCCAAAGTATGAACGACTGTGATGTTTCAATAATCTTATTATTCAGGAAGTAAAACATGTGAGGTGAAACACAAGAATAACCTAATCCAACATGGTCTCAAAACTTTTGAATATAAATAAAACACTTTGTTGGGTTGAATAAGTGTTGCGTCATGGGCTCAGTCTTTAGCCCAGTTTTTCTATCCGGTTTGGGCCTGTCCAACCGTGATTGTTTTGTTTAGGGTTTAGTATTTAAGGTGCATGCATGCAGCCTTTATTTGTAGCGCTTTGAAAATTATTATTGTTTGGTACTAAAAACCCTAGCTCGCCTCTACAGTGGAAGTTCTTTGTCGAGCTCTGCTGAGGCGTGACTATATTTGAATCATTAAGCATCATTTGATTCTACATTGTGTTCTTTGTGTTTATTTGATTTTATTGCTTAACCTGTTGAAGATCTAATCGATCTAAGAGTTTTTCAACTCAACAATTGGTATCAGAGCAGGAGACTGTGTAATTCATACACATCTCTTCTGTCGAAGAAGATCTTAGGGTTTTCCGCTTAGATTGATATTACTAGAGCCGTCATCTACTATTGACGTGGTTCTTTAAAATATTCGATCTTACCCTAACGTTATTTACAAGTCTGATCTTAAGCAAGTTTTTAAACAAACATCGACACATCCATGGACGATTCTCAGTCAAACCCAATCAACATCTCAAACAGCATAGGATCGACGACAAGGATTCCCATTTTATACACTCAAGATTATGAGGTCTGGGCGCATCACTTTGAAGACTACGTGATTGGCTCAGAAGATAATGGATACTTAATCTGGGAGGCGATCACTGTTGGTCCATTCGTTCATGCAAGTACCTCAAGAGTCGTTAAAACTCAAAAGGAATATAATCAACTCATTGGTGACGTGAAAGATATACCTCAAGATGAGAAGGAAAAGTTTCAGTGCAATATCAAAGCTTTAAGGATGATTAGGTTTGCGTTACAGTCAGACACGTTTCGGCGTGTAAGCTCATGCACGACAGCAAAGGAAATATGGGTCAGGTTGAAGGAACTGTACTCTACAGATGAAGATCTTGAGCACTCAATCCAAAAACTGTTGCTCTCAGAATTTGGTGATTTCAAGCAGAAACCTGATGAGAAGCTTGTTCAATCCTTCGATCGCTTCAATCATCTCTTAAGCAAGATGATTAAACATGGGATCGAAAGGAAGGTCATCGAAAGAAGGTAACATTCATGAATGGCCTTAGATCGGAAATGGAGGCTGTGGTGTCAACAGTGAAGGCACATGAACAGTTCAAAAGTTATTCTCTTGCAAAATTGGTGGGGATACTAAAGTCGCATGAGAATGCCTTGACTAAAGAAACGAATGTGGTTTCC